AGAACAGGGCATGGGTAAGAATTAAACCTTGGATCACTGCTTTGGGGGCACTATCTTTTTTCCTAGATGCCAAAAATGATTGTATCTCCCGCACCTGCTGGATCCTCACTGCTATCCTGCGTAATTTCAAACTGACATCTAGAGTCACCCTTACCCTTTTCTCCAAAGAGCCAACACCATGTCTCCAACCGTGGGCCAGACACCAGGGCATCAGAGCTGACGGTGCAATCCCATTATTTATGAACAACTGACTCACGTCATGTTGCAACAGGCGTACTTTTCCATCCACTGTGGCTGAAAGTCAGTAAACTTGTAGTAACAGCAGTAATAAAGAGAAGGCCAGGGCAACAGTGCATGAAGCTCTGTCTTAGGTCAGGGCCTCACCCTCTTCAGGAGCAGGAAGCCCATAGAGGGTGGTGCGGACAAGGATGGTGGGGTAGGGGAGGGCCTACAATGGCCTCAGTTACAGAAGAAGACCCCATTACAGATTCGTTTCTTCAGGCAAAGCATTATCACAGCTCCCTCACCTGCCTGTCCCCTTCCTCCCTAATTTTTCCAACAAGTTGGAAAACTCCTACATATCCTTCAAGGCCTAATTTCTGGTGTCCTTCCCCCAGTTCCAAGGTTCAGGTGCATTCCAACCCTGAATTTGGCAGACCGCAATGACGACAGAAAAAGATGTTTGAGGTTAATAGCTGGGCTTGGGGGGAAAAGCCAAAGCTCCCCATGGAGGGAATGTAGAGGCCCGCACAAGATCTGCTCCTCTGTGGGGCGCGCTGAGCGCTGTGGCCTCTAGGCTGTCTTGCCAGATTCCCAAGTGAGGCCTCAGAATCCCAAGGCTTCCCTGGGCCTCTGGCTGCACTTCTCAGACTGGTCGGTTATCCCTAGCCCAAGTCCATGGGAATGCCACCCCTTCTCCCACAGCTGCCAGGAGCCTGGCTTTGGACTTCCTTAGTTCTCCCGTGCCCTGGAGAATTTATTTATTTATTGGATGTGCTTCTTTATTTTATTTATTTATTTATTTATTTATTTATTTATTTATTTAATTGCTCTGGGGAATTTTAAAAGGCTGCCTGCAGAGGGCACTATTTTCACCAAGCGAGAACTCACTAGCAGAGGAACTGGCTGCCTTGGGAGAGCAGCCCTGGGAGGTTTCCTTTGAGGATGGAGGTCTGATGGGGATGACTCCTTCCCGGAACTCTCCAATCGCCTCATGTGGCAGCTGTCCGTTCAATCTGGGAGCTGCCCCTTTGGGTAACTCGGGAGGCAGGTGGCCTGAAGGTTCTTGCCAGGGGCCTCTTAAGCACCCCTAGCAACCAAGGTAATTCAAAGTAGGGGACAGAGACCCAACTTTGAATTAACTTGAGTCTAATTAGGAAAAGCTCCAGCTCTGCCTCCAAGAGTCACTCCTCACCTCTGGGTCTCAGTCTCCCCATCTGTGCACTGAGAAATGGTGCGTTGGATGTGTTCATCTACTCAGCACATGTTAACTGAGCACTTACTACACTCTGATCTCTGGGGAGAGACCATGGAACGAGAGAGACAAAAGGCCTTGCCCTCACAGAGCTGATATTCTAACAGGGAAGACAGATGGCAAACAAGATTAAGGAGTGAAATCTATAGGCTGTCAGAAGGGAATATGAGCCATGGAAAATGAAGCAGAGAAGGAGCGGGGGGACATGGCTGCTAAGGCTTAGTCTAGCTTAGAGACTCTGAGTCTAAAGCTCTTACTCTGCTGGATCCTTGTTAGGAGTCAAGAATGGTGGCAGGAAACTGGGCAGGGCCATGCGTGAGTACAGGAACAGCGCTCAGGGGTGGTGGGGATGGTAGGCTAGAGCCCCAGTCAGTCTCTCAGTGGCTTCCTCCAGGAAACAGAACTGACCAACTCCAGGTATGCTGGCCTGTCCTCAAAGGCAAGCAACTGGGTCTGCTGAGGAGTCCAGGAGTCACACAGGGTTCCTGGCAGGGCCCCAAAAGTCCTGACTGAGGGGAGGATTTCTTCAAAGCAAGGTGGGCGACATCCTCAGGGCACTGCCAGGGACTCTTCTACATCCCTCACTCTACCGTGGCCTTCGATGAACAAAACACTGGCCACCTCCAACTACAGGGGCTCTCAGACCCTTCCTTCCCTCCTACTGATCCTCCCCTGCGTGGTAGGGTCTCCCCTCCCCTTACATGGGGAGGGAGGGAGAGGAATTTGAAAGTTCTGGCTGGGCATGGTGGATCACACCTGTAATCCCAGCACTTTGGGAGGTAGAGGCAGACAGATCACTTGCACTCAGGAGTTCGAGAACAACCTGGGCAACATAGTGAGACCCCACCTCTACAAAAAATACAAAAATTAGCTGGGCATGAGGGTACATGCTTATAGTCCCAGCTACTAAGGAGGCTGAGGTGAGGAGGATAGCTCGAGCCCAGGAGGTTGAGGTTGTAGTGAGCAGAGATCATGCTACCACATTCCAGCCTGGGCGACAGAGCAAGACCCTGTCTTGAATATATATATCTGACCAACCCAGAGTTGGTCAGTTCCATTTCCTGGAGGAAGTCGCTGAGAAACTGACTGGGGCTCAAGCCTGTGCACAAACCTAGCATCCCCACCACGCCTGAGAGCTGTCCCTGTACTCATGCATGGCCCTGCCCAGTTTCCTGCCACCATTCTTGGCTCCTAACACTGGGCTAAAAAATACACACACACACACAAAAAAAAAAACTCCCCCCATTTCTTATGAATTCACAATTTTTCTCTTCCTGTAGGGATTATTTTTGAAAATATGTCTTGCAAACCTTCTGTGTATTCAGAATGAGTAAGGGATACCAAGATGCTGAGAAAGGACTTACCGTCAACCGGGGAGGCCAGGCTAACACACATGAGAAAATAGCAATCCGCACTTACAGTTTGCTTTGCAGCCCACAGAGTCCTTTGGAACCACTTACTATGTCCTAAAACCACGCAAAGCCTGTTGTTCTCATTTTACAGATGAGGAAATTAAGACCCAGAAAAGCACCTTCTCTTCCCCCAATAGTAGCTGCCCCGTGGAGTGGTGAGGAGAGAGAGGAGACAATGAAGATTAATGTTTCCAAATAATCCCATTCCAATTCTTACCCCTGGAGGGATGCGTAAGAAATCTACATAAAGGGACAAAGTTGCTCTGCCTCCAATCTAGGGTAGGGCCAAGCTGGGCATGGAACCCACCAGCCCTGGCCTCTCCTTGGCAGGACCAGGGTAAAGCAAAAGGCCCCTGTCTGTCTGGAAAAGCACATGGGGGCGGGACGAGGTGGCTTACACCTGTAATCCCAACACTTTTGGAGGCCAACTTGGGTGGATCATCTGAAGTCAGGAGTTCGAGACCAACCTGGCCAACATGGTGAAACCCTGCCTCTACTAAAAATACAAAAATTAGCCAGGCGTGATAGAGAATTGCTTGAACCTGGGAGGCGGAGGTGGCAGTGAGCCAAGATCTCGCCCTTGCACTCCAACCTGGGTGATAGAGCGAGACTCAGTCTCAAAAAAAAAGAAAGAAAGAAAGAAAGAAAAGCACATGGGATTAAGGATATTCTCTTGGTGTAAAGGAAAAATATTGCCCCACGTGGGTAAGGGTGCCAAGGGATCTCAGTGGTGGGGCTGGACACCTTTCTGATCCAGCTTTTCAGAGTGCCCTTTCTGCTTGCCAAGGGCAGAGGTAAGGCAGTTGGAAAAGAAGCTTTGCTGTTGCAGACTAATCATTCCATTCTCACAGAGCACCTTCCTGTGTGCCAGGTACTATGGCTACGGCAGGGAACAAAGCAGGTCCCTGCCCTCCTGGAGTTCTGGGAGCTTAGCAAGGCTCTGGCTGGCTCTTGGAGGACTTTCCTGACTGGAGTTTGTGCCTGTTTGGAGGTGCCCTCTCCCCTGAACTTCTTTCACAGGAAGAACCTAGCGGGGTGGGGAGTAGGGGGAAAGAAACCAGCCTCTGCTGAGTCAAGGGCACTGTAAGAATGCAGAAGCAACCATCCGGCTCTGGAAGGATGTGGTGGGAAATCCGCCACTCAGTGGTGGAGAAAAGTCCACCAGTTTCTCCAGCAAATGTCTGAGTCTCGTTGGGCCTCCTTGTCTTCTCATCTGCCCCTGTGCTAATATCTACTTGCCATTGGTTTGTTAGGTTCAAATGAAATCAGGGATGTGTCCCTGTTGGCTGCTAGTTCTTCTCAGATCCCCTGACCTCTCCCCATCTCTTTTCTATGGCTCTGCGTGGGAACGGGCAGTTGTCACCCCCAACTCCCACTAAGCTGAGCCCTCCTCCCAACCTAAGTGGGAGGAAGCCGGTTCTGTTCACGAATGAGAGTTACCGGGCTCCTGAATTCTTGCTCCACTGGTGCTGGGGTCCACCCCCTCTCCTGGGCTTATCCGACTGGGACTTGGGAAGTGCCAGGGGAGCCAAGAGATGTCCAACTGGGGGCTGTGGCCAGGGGGTAGGCCAATGACAGAGCACGGGGAACTCCCTGTAGCTGGGCACCCACTTCAACAGGGGCCCCCGCAGGCAGAGGGCCGCCCCTCACCCACACGGTCCTGCTCAGCCCAGGCTAGCATCTGGGCTCAGGAGGCGGAAAGCACAGGTGTAAAGAAATCGCCAACTGTGCAGCCCCAATCCAAGGGTTTTATTAAAGTGGGGGTGGCAGGAGGGGGGCGGTGGAGGAAGGGTAAGCGGCGCAAACGCCCTGGAGACTCAGAGAAAAGGTGCTAGAAGGCAACAGTCCCCCTCACCGGCCTCGATTGCAGCAGAGAGCCTTCTGCACGGCGGCGGCCGCCCCACCTTCACACCGGCCCCGCGTGCGGTGAAAGTGGCCACGCCGCGCCGCCGCCGGATCAGGGCCGCCCCGGCACAAACTTTCCCAGACCCGCCCTTGGAGTGGCCACCCGGGCTCCACGGGCGCAGAGCGGCTGGGGCGGCCGCGGAGAGCGGGTGCGCGTGGACCAGGAGGTGAGGAGGCGGCGCGCGGCGGGGAGTCCCGCCCCGGGTTACCTGGGTTCCGAGGGTCTCGGGAGTCCAGTGGACAGGGCGCGCGGACAGCACAAGCAGGCCGGAGACCGGTCACTCCTCCTGGGCTCTGGCGACCCCGGACTCTCGGGCCCTGCACCTGGCCCTGCGGGTCGCCGCGCCTACCCATGCCGGTCCCCGCCCGTCCCCGCCCGTCCCCTCCCGCATGGGGCGGGGCGGCCCCGGGGGAGGAGCCGAGGGCCGTGGGCACCACTCCCTGAGCCAGGCCTGCGCCTCATCACGTGTCACCGACCCTGGGCTCTGTGACCTCCAAAGACTCGCCACCGCACTCCACAGCCTGAGGTGCAACCCAAGCCAGGAGCCCAGGGAAGTCTCTCACACCCCATTCTCCTAGGGCTCATGTACCCCAGGCCCACCTCCACCCCAGGAGCCGAAGGCCGACAGGGACCCTGGAGAGCCTCCCTCATGGGAGAATTGCGGAGCTTGCCCCTCGGAAAAGTGCATGGGGTGGAGCACAGAGAAGGCGGAATAAACAACTGACTATCCGCAGCCCCACGGCAGTGTCCCCTTGGCCGGTGGGAGAGGTTCCTGGCCGCTCTGAATCCTTGAAATGCGTTCCACCACTGTCTCTTGGAGTGCTCAGGGGGGTGGACCCTTTGCCAGCCCTCACTCTTTCTCCAAGGATCCTGTCCCAGGTCACAGGCTCCTAGACTGGAAGGTGCTGGGCCTGGACCTCTGCCACTCAGTGGACACAGCGATAAGAGATGAATGGACACAGAGCACAAAGAAGAAACATTTGGCTTCGTGGAACCAGACTCTGTGTCCTCCCAGGTGCTGAAGGAACAGGTTGCAGCTGCCTGGTACCCCCCCCCGGGCCCTGCTAGAGAAAGGCTGGAACATCCACCTCTGCAGACTGGTCCCCCACCAGGCTCCTGCCTCCCACCCTTCAGCCCCAGGCTGTCTGAGCTCCTGCTCCTCCCTGCCTTGCCTTGTTTGCTGAGGGCGCAGACAGTGGAGAGAGCGCAGGACTGGGAGTCCGGAGACCTGGGCTCTAGTCTACTCTGTGACTTGCGTTAAGTCTCTGGCCCTTTGTGGGCCTAAGTTGCCCCGTTTGCAGTGAATAGGTTGCAGTCAATTATCTCCGGCCGTTTTTATGGATCCTGAACCGTGGTCTTGGGCACCCTGCTTTATTAGGCTTTTTGGTGGTTGTGCATCTTGTAAGGGTGTGTATGCATGCGCGCATGCGCTTGTCCTCTCAGACCTGAGTTCTTAAAGGGAAAGAGACTGGGGCCTACACAAGAGTCAGGCATGTATTTTCCGCAGACCAGAGTTTGACAAGAATGACTGGACACCAGGAGAGTGCAGCCCAGTCCCAGCTCTGCGCTGAATTCAGAGCAGCCTTGGACAAGTCCCTCACCATCTACAAAATGGAGATTAATAATACCTGTTTTGCCTTTCCAAGGCTAGTCGGGGGACTCAATGAGATATTAGAAATGAAGCTTTTTGAAGGGGAATAGCACAGGGATATGTACTTTTGATGCCACCTTTTGATGCCTGGGCCGGTGATGGGTTTGGGGTAAGAATAGGGTGTGAAGAGTTCTCTGGGGGCAAAGGCTGGCACTGGCCTGACTGCCCACCCTGCCGAAGCTGCAGCATGCACAGCACAGGCAGGCACCCCACCACCAGCAGAGCAGCCAAGGTGAGCAGAGATGCCTGGTGCCCCACCTGGACTCCTGTAGGCATCTGTGTGTGCACCTTGAAGAAACTAAAGAGGGAAGGCAAAGAGGCTCCCAACCTAAATGGAGGTGGTCAGTGGATTACCAGTGAATCGATCTGCACGTCTTGGCCAAAAACACCCTCCTCTGCTCTTGGGGAGCTTAAAGTCTAACTGAATGATTGGACCTGAACCCTTTGGAGAACAATGTGGAGCTAGGAAAGGGAATTGTGGATGGTAAGCACACAGGATGATCAGAGGAGGGGGAAGGGCAGGGAGGGGGCGGGGAGGGGGGTACTTAGACCACATGGAGATGCATTTAGAGAGCATTGTGTTCAACACTCCTATTTCAGAGTGATGAAACGGAGGCCCAGAGAGAGAAAGTGATCTGCCCAAGGTCACACAGTCACAGGAAGTTAGTAGCAGAGCTGGAACTTGGACCCAGGACTTCAAGAATCTATGCTGGATTTGGGCCTCCTGTGCAGCCGAGGGAGACCTGAAGTGTGGGAAGGACTGGGATACGTACCCGTGGGCAGGAAGAAGGAGGGAGGCAAAGTGCAGAGGTGGGAACCTTGTACAGCAAGGGAAAGGAGCTGGAATCACAGGCAGGATCTGGAAGGAGGGAGCTGCCCAGACCTGGAAAGCCAGGCGGAGCACTGCAGACCACAGAGGGTTTCGAGCTGACACCAGTTGGGAAGATACAGGCGTGGGAGAGGCACACGCCCAAATGACCCAGTGAGACAGCAGGTGACATGACAGCAAGGCAGCAAGGAGACAGGGAAGAGCAGCTCCAGGAGTCAGGCAACCTAATCAAATGGCCTTGAGCAAGTTGTCTCTCTTCTCTGGCCCTCAGTTTCTTTTTCCGTGGAGTGGGAGAGAATCATCTTTTTTTCCTTTCAGGGTTATTGTGGTGACCACAGAATGCATTTGGAAGTGCTCTGTAAACTGCAGAGTGCTGAGTAAATTTAATATTTGGAGTTGTGTTTTATTTTCCAAAGGCCTCAGTAAACGTTTGTGGAACTGACTGACATTGGATTGAGCACTGTCTCCTCATGGCAATGGGCGGAGGGACCAAAAAGAGGGGGCAGGGATTGGGGGCGCTCAGAGGGAGTCCTGGTGAGGGTGTGAAGGAAGGAGAGCTCCAGTCTTAAACGTCAGTCTCCCTCTGACATCTTTACAACATAACTCAAAAAGCCTTTTGCGGGGGAAACAGTCCTACCGCAATCCATGTGACTCAAAATGCCCCATCTCTCCCTTTGCCTGTGTGTTCAAGGGGCGCCATATCAGACATCACTTTTCTATGTGTTCTTCACCCATCCCCACTGGCCATCTACTCCTCAGGCGCTCACCAGCTCCTCCTGGGTGGGCCCAGACCTTGTATTTGTTTACAAGGCCTTGTTGGATAAACCATCGCCCTCAGCTAATATGGTAAGACTCAGGTCCCTCACATGTGTTCTCAGCCCCCTGGCACCCAACCCTACCCCAATCCATAAGTCCGCTCCCTCCTCCCATCTCCTCGGCAATGGAGTCACCAGGGCAGGGCTTACTGCCCCACTTGGCAGATGAGAAAACGGAGGCTGGGAGAAGTGCTGGCACCTGCCCGGCCGTGCGAAACCTAGAACAGCCTCACCCACACCATCAGAGTTGCCCTGCTGATAAGGCCATTATCTCATCAGGGCTGGAAGTATTTGCCTCATTTGACAGAGGAGGAAATGGGCACTAAGGGCGAGGACATGCTTTATGGGAACTTTATGCAGAGCTTTCTTTTCTGCCACTGCATCCAGATAAGGGATCCATGTTGCCAGTGGTTTCCCAGTGCTGCTGTGACAAATTATCATGCACAGCACCTTAAAACAACACCTGTTTACTCTCCCACGGTCCTGGAGGCTAGAAGTCCCAAGTCGGGGCATTAGCAGAGTTGTGCTCCCTCTGAAGCTTCCATGGCTCCCTCTGACTGCTGCCCATCCCTGCCCCCTGCGTTTATGGTCCCTCTGCCCACGTCTGTGAAGAGACGCAGTGCCCAAACCAACACCAGTCAGTTCCACAAACGTTTACTGAGGCCTTTGGAAAATAAAACACAACTCCAAATACTGAATTTGTTTATCGCCCTGCAGTTTACAAAGCCACTTCCAAATGCATTCTGTGGTCATCACAATAACCCCGAGAGGGAGAATCCTTCCTTGTCTCTTCCAGCTCCTGGTTCCCAGCATCCCTGGGCTTGTGGCAGCATCACACAATCTTGCCTGTCTTCACATGCCATCTCTGAGTGTCTGTGTCCCCTCCTCTCTGTAGGACAGCAGTCACTGGAGTCAGGATGAGCTCATCTCAAGATCCTTAGCTTAAGTGCATCTGCAAAGACCCTTTTTCCAAATAAGATCACAGTCATGGGTAGAGGAAGTTAGGATGTGGACATACATTTTGGGGACACTGTTCAATCCACATCTGTGTCTTTCCCCCAGTGGCAGCACAAAGGGGTCCAGCAAGGTCAGTTTCCTCCTTTTGTCCTTCCCTCAACTTCTCACCGTGTCAGACAGAGTCTCCTATAGCATCTTCTATCTGGTCATGTTACGGAGGAGAAAGGAGGCTAAAGCCATATAGGGTCCTTGCTGGGGGCATTGCGTTGGGGGACTTACCTCCCTCTAACTCCCTTTCCTACCACCTCACAGCCTGGCCATGGCTTTTTTTTTTTTTTTTTTTTTCCTGTCACCCAGCCTGGAGTGCAATGGCACTATCTTGGTTCACTGCAACCTCTGCCTCCCAGGTTCAAGCAGTTCTCCTGCCTCAGCCTCCTGAGTAACTGGGACTCAGGTACCACCACGCCTGGCTGATTTTTGTATTTTTAGTAGAGATGAGATATCACCATGTTGGTCAGGCTGGTCTCAAACTTCTGACCTCATGTGATCCACCCGTCTCAGCCTCCCATGTGCTGGGATTATAGGCATGAGCCACCATGCCCAGCCTGGCTATGCCTTTCAAAAGGACCCTTGATGCCCCTTCCTCTAACATCTTCCCATCATGGGGTCCCTATGGAAAGATACCCTTTCTGGTGAATAGGCTCAGAGAAAATGCCTATTCTCCCTGCTCAACCCACCTGTGCCCCCAGCCCTTCTTCTGATGCCCAGGTCCTAAGAATCCCTTTGCCAGGAGCCACAAAGCTTTGAATTCCATGTGGAAAGCACAGACTTTCAGGCAGAACGCCTTGGGGCAGGGGACACTGCGACTGGCATGGATCCCCAGGTGTGACCCCGTCTTGAGAGCAGGATTGAGGGAGGTGGAGCATGGGAAGCTGGCCCTTGGAGAGTGTGTGTCAAGGGGAAGATGCTGAGACAGGAGGAGGGTGACTTGCCTTGGCCAGGGAGACAGATCACAAGGGCCTGTCATGTCCGGTACTTGAAGGAAGCCCCAGGCGTGCCCTGTGCCAGGTGGGCTCCTGAGGGCCAGTAGCCATCAAGGA